TGGGTGCACCCACGGACCTCCAGCTCCGTCAGTCTCCAGGCTGCCTGGGCTCTTGGGTTGGGGTCAGGCCCCTGAGGAGAGAGGGGTCCTAACTCATGGCCCCATCAGACCCTGGAGGGAGGATGGATGGATGGATGGGGTGGGGGGCTGGGGGGACATCAGCAAGCGAGAGAGGGAAGGGCAAGGGCTTGGGCCTTTGGCCTGGCTGTCAGCAAGGGGCAGGCCGCACAGCCAGGGAGGAGGAGGCAGAGGCCATTGGCTGTGCCCTGGCTGCAGTGGGCAAGAGTCTGGGGAAGGAGATGCCCCTCTCTTCCCCCTCAGAGGCAGGCTGAGGAGGAGGCCAGGCCCCATTTGGGGGAACTTGAGGGGAAGACATGGCCCTTTCTTTGGAAACTTCTACTCAGCAGGGCATACTGGGCATACTCCCTGGGCATACTGCTGTCATGGGGAGACGCACCCACTGTCCTTTTTGGAAAGCGTCTATCTCGAAGGGAGCCATCGACCCTCTGGGGAGCCCTGGGCTGTGGGGAGATGAGGTCAGGGAGGGAGCTGTCTGCCTGCCTGTGGTTGGGGAGCCCACACTGATGAGCAGACATGGCTCTGTCTTGGGGGGACTTAGACCTGAGTGACAGATCTGGTTTTATGTCTGGGGAGCCTGCTGTGAGAGGGAGACATGGTTCTACTTCTGAGGGTCCTTGGTCTGTGCAGGGAGCCTGGGGCCTCTTCGTTGGGGAGTCCAGTTTGAGGAGAGAACAGTTTCATTTTCAAGGAATTCCTAGTTTGGGGAAGATAGATATCCCACCTTGGGGAGTCCCATGTTGGGGGGAGATATGGACCTTTTAGGCCCCTCTGAGGGTGGGGAAGGCTCTGCCTGTACTACGCCAGCTGATGTCTAAAGAAGGAAGCTGGTCTCTGGCCTTTGGGACCTGTGTGAGGTAGAGAGGGTCAGGCCCTGGTCTCCCTGCGGCCTGCTGCATTTGGCTCTAGAACTCCCCTTCCTGGCATGTCTCTCCTGTGAACTGGCAGGGGAGGAAACCCTGTCCCTGAAGGCATGGGGAGGTCCCTCAGCACATACAGCTAAGCTCACAACCAAGGCCCCGGACTTACTGGGCCTGTCAACTCCCCAGCTCCAGGGAGTCCTGGGGCTGCTGCTTTTAGGGTTGCTGCTACCTTGTGATGCCCAGGGGCCAGGCCAGTGGGTCTTGCCTGGGCCAGCTCTCTTGGCTGTGGCGTGGGCTCCAGGCAGCTCTTTTTTTGTGAGAGGTTTCAGGGGACTAGGAGGGTGCAGAGCACTGAGTCCCCGCCTGAGTTGGCCCCACATGAACAGCTTCTCCTCATTCTCTTTCCAGGGAGCCCCTGGCTGGGCTCCTGAGCTCCTCCCCTGGGGTCTCTTCTGGGCAGTGGCTGCCCTGTCTTCTGCCCTCTCTTCTGGCTTCCAAATCAGTGGGTCCCTCCAGCTTGGACAGCTCCTTCCCTCTTTGGTCATAGCACTTGGCTGGGACAGTGGGAGGATCTCCCAGCCCAGCTGGGACACCTGGCCTCTGGACTGGGGGGTGGACTTGGTGAGAGGGCACATGACCCTGCCTCTGGACCACTTGTCAGCTTTGCCGCCACAGTCTGCCAAGGACCTGGGCGGACTGGGGTGCGTCTGCGTCCTGCTGCTGGGCCTGGCCTTCCTTCCTGGGGCAGGGTCCTGATGACCCCCGCACCCAGACTATAGGGGCCGAGCCTGCACCTGCTGCCGTGTGGGGAGCCCTCCCCACAGTGGAGCTGAGCGGGTGGGCCAGTAGGGGAGTGGGCTGCCCAGTCTCCTGCCACCCCTGACTGGCCAGTGGTTCTCTCCCCCTCTGTCCTGCTACAGATGGCAGCTCAGCGGCAGCGGGCACTGGCCATCATGTGTCGGGTCTACGTGGGCTCCATCTACTACGAGCTGGGGGAGGACACCATTCGCCAGGCCTTTGCCCCCTTTGGCCCCATCAAGAGTATTGACATGTCCTGGGACTCCGTCACTATGAAGCACAAGGTGAGCAAGCTGGTCGCCTGCCTGCCCACCCGGGGTTTGCCTTCCTCATTGGGCTCTCCCAGCCTAACAGGTGTGTCTCTGTGTCCAGGGCTTTGCTTTTGTGGAATACGAGGTCCCTGAAGCTGCGCAGCTGGCCTTGGAGCAGATGAACTCAGTGATGTTGGGGGGCAGGAACATCAAGGTGAGGGCAAGGGACTGGGCCTCAGGTCTCTCTCCACCCCCCGCAGACCCACAGAGCAGCCCCTCCGTAGGAGCCCGACATGGCTGGGCCTGGGCTGATGAGTGACTTTCCGTTTCCCTGCTTTTCCCCAGGTGGGTAGGCCCAGCAACATCGGGCAGGCCCAGCCTATCATAGATCAGCTGGCTGAGGAGGCGCGGGCCTTCAATCGCATCTATGTGGCCTCTGTGCACCAGGACCTTTCAGATGATGACATCAAGAGTGTGTTTGAGGCCTTTGGCAAGATTAAGTCTTGCACGCTAGCCCGGGACCCCACAACTGGCAAGCACAAGGGCTACGGCTTCATTGGTGAGCTTGGGGTGGCTGAGGCAGGGGAGGGGCCACCCAGTGCTGGGACTGGCCCTCCTCACTGCTACTCCTGCCCTACAGAGTATGAGAAGGCCCAGTCGTCCCAAGATGCTGTGTCCTCCATGAACCTCTTTGACCTGGGTGGTCAGTATTTGCGAGTAGGCAAGGCTGTCACACCCCCCATGCCTCTGCTTACACCTGCCACGCCTGGAGGTCTCCCACCTGCTGCTGCTGTGGCTGCAGCTGCAGCCACAGCCAAGATTACTGCTCAGGTGAGGAATCACACAGCTGGGTAGGCTTGAGAGTGGGTGGATGGGCTCTTGATCCTTTGGGAACTGGCTCTTTAAAGTCATCTTAAGTAGCTAGACCAGGAGCTCAGTGTGGTAGCCTTTTGGATTGCAGGAAGCAGTGGCCGGAGCAGCGGTGCTGGGTACCCTGGCCACACCTGGACTGGTGTCCCCAGCACTGACCCTGGCCCAGCCCCTGGGGGCTTTGCCCCAGGCCGTCATGGCTGCCCAAGCGCCTGGAGTCATCACAGGTGAGTCTTAGTGGGGTCCCTGCCCCCTCCTTTCCTGCCTTGTCATCTCCAGGCATGCTGCCTCGGCTTCTGGGCCCTCTTGCTCCAGGTGTCACCTGAGCCTAGGACAGCCATGGCTGACCAGCTGTGTGTTCCTGGGGAGGGTGGAAGATGGGGAAGGGGGAAGGAGTGACTGCTGGACCTGGTTGGTTTTGTTGCAGGTGTGACCCCAGCCCGTCCTCCCATTCCAGTCACCATCCCCTCTGTGGGAGTGGTGAACCCCATCCTGGCCAGCCCTCCTACCCTGGGTCTCCTGGAGCCCAAGAAGGAGAAGGAAGAAGAGGAGCTGTTTCCCGAGTCAGAGCGGCCAGAGATGCTGAGCGAGCAGGAGCACATGAGCATTTCGGGCAGCAGTGCCCGCCACATGGTGATGCAGAAGCTGCTTCGCAAGCAGGAGGTGGGCAGCCAGGTCCTGGTATGGTGGGGGGAGTGGGGGTGATCCAGACAGGCCACAGCTCTCAGCTGTCCCCTCCACCACAGTCCACAGTGATGGTTCTCCGCAACATGGTGGACCCCAAGGACATCGATGACGACCTGGAGGGGGAGGTGACAGAGGAGTGTGGCAAGTTTGGTGCTGTCAACCGCGTCATCATCTACCAAGAGAAGCAGGGCGAAGAGGAGGACGCAGAAATCATTGTCAAGATCTTTGTGGAGTTTTCCATAGCCTCAGAGACTCATAAGGCCATCCAGGCCCTCAATGGGCGCTGGTTTGCTGGCCGCAAGGTGGTGGCTGAAGTGTATGACCAGGAGCGTTTTGATAACAGTGACCTTTCTGCGTGACCTTGGCCCCATTCCCCGGACTTGCACTTACTCCTTGTTTCATTTGGGTTTTATAGTGATACAGTGGTGTCCCTGGGGCCAGGCGCCCTCTGCCCAGCCCAGCCTATAGTGTGCATAAAGTTGCAGATGCTGCTGGCCCTGAACGTCTGTGTCTGACATTGGTCCTGCGGGGCCCAGTGCGAGTGTGTGGCTGTGTGTGTCCGTCCGTCTCTCCTATAGTGGTGTGAGGCAAGGAGGCAGTGGTGCCTCCCACTCCGCCACAGGCAGGGGGAGGGGCCTCCGGGTGTGTGGAGGGAGGAGGGGTTGCCCCAGCTGGGGGATCCTCGCCTGACAGGACCTTAATCTGGGAAGCTCCGCCAGGAAGTGCTTGTGAGTGGGCTTGCCGCCTCACACCGTGGCCTGCATGGGTAGCAGGAGGAGGCTGGCACAGGGTCGCTGAAGTCCTGGGGCACGAACACCTAGACGGAGTGTTGCTGCTGCAGGGGCTGTCGTGTTTGGGGAGCCGGCCTTCCCAGGCGAGGAAGCAGGTGGACGTCATCACGCCCTGCAAGGAGGCTGCAAATTGAAACGCGCAGCCGACCGTTCCTGGGACCCCGGCGGAACGGAAGGCTGTGTCAGCGTGGACTCCAACTCCCATGTCGCTTTGCGCTCGGGATGGGAGCCTGGCTTCCCGGCAGGCTGTGCGCTGGGCCGCTACGGATCCTCGAAGGCGTCGGCGCCGCGGGGCTTTCTGGGGGCTGTAGTTCTGGCGTCGATGGTCGGCGAGGGCGGGACTCGGCTTCCCGGCGGGCTGCGCGGCGGCCGGGCGGTTGTCGGCGGGGCAGTCGGGCGGGCAGCGGCGGCGGTTCCGGCTGCGGCACAGCGGGCGGCCGGGCGGACGAGCGGGCAGGCCGAGTTTAGCGGGGCCGGGCGGGATGCGGAGCCGCCGCCGCCGCTCCCCCGCCTTTCCCTGAGAGTCTGAGCGCCGGCCCGGCCGCGCCCCCCGCCCAGGCCCGCAGTCCGAGCGTTCCGCGCGTTCCGAGCGCGGGCCGGGCCCAGCGCCGGCCCCGGCTCCGTCCCGGGCAGCCCGCTCCCTGCCCGCGCCCCCTCCCCGGCCTGGCGCTCATGCGGGCCGAGCCCCGCCCCCCGGCCCCGAGCCCGCCGAGCGCCGCTGCTTGAGCCCGCTCCCGCCCGCCCGCACCATGCTCAAGTGCATCCCTCTGTGGCGTTGCAACCGGCACGTGGAGTCGGTGGACAAGCGGCACTGCTCGCTGCAGGCCGTGCCGGAGGAGATCTACCGTTACAGCCGAAGCCTGGAGGAGCTGCTGCTCGACGCCAACCAGCTGCGCGAGTTGCCCAAGGTGAGCGGCGCCCGCACCTGCGCCCCGTCGGCGTGGGCCCAGCCCTCAGCCCCGTGATCCGCGAAGTCTGCCTGGGCGAGCCACCGCAGCCTTTAGCCGGTCCTGCTGGTTTCTACTGGCCAGAGCCCCACCCTGGCCAGCCCCACCCTCTGACCCCCGCCCCCGTGAGATGCCTAGGTTGGCACCTGGTAGTAGTGGTCATCAGATTCCTGCCTGGGGATGGGGTAGTCGCTGAGCCTAGAGGAGGAGCCTCAGAATGAGACTGTGGGGCTTCGGGAGGTGGATGGTGGGATCAGGGTGGAAGGTGGGCCCGCAATGCTTGGCAGACACTCACTTGCTGGGCTGCTCTGAAGGTGGAGAGCTTGGCCTGCTCCCCAGGCTGCTCTCCTCCTCTTCCTGGGTGCTGGGGTGGGGTGGGGGAGCCCTCTTGAGATACCCAGCTCTGTGCAACTCGCTGTACCTCCACTTTTCTTTGCTCTTGGTTTTTCTGGGGAGTTGGTTTTCCTTTCTCCAAGTCCTTTCCAAAGAGGATGCTAGAGAAAGCAGGTTATAAGAAGCATTCCTTTTGTGAAGACGAGGTGCTGAGAAGTCTGTTGCCTGGGATCTATGTTTTGTAAAGGCCGGGGCCCCGCATAGGCTTGGCTGACATTCCTGTCCACTATGGTCACCTACAAGTTCCACGTTCCTTCTCCGTATATGTCACCACACACGTCTGTGGTACCTTGCTGTTTTTTTACTGATTTTTTGGTGATTGTTTGTTGAGTTCTGACCTTGGGCCCAAGCCAGGCTCCTTGCTGGGTGCATTAGCAGGAGTCGGCGTGGCCCCTGGAGGGCTCTTCTACAGGGCAGACACAGCAGCTCAGTGTGGGTGGAGTTCTGAGTTGACACTGGGTAGGAAATGTCTTGTCCAGACACAGGGAGGCTGCTTTTCATCTGTATGAGGTTTCAGGTTGGGAGTTGGATGCAGCAGGTGTGTGTGCTGTGTATTTCCTTACTTTCCTTGAAATGGTATTGTCATGGCTGGACCTTAGGACTATATGTGCCCTGGAACAGGCAGAGTCCCAGGGACCCGTGACTATGAGCCCCTGTGTCCAGGAGCTCTTCTCTGTTCTGGAGGGACCCCTGGTACAGAGCCTGTCCCCCCTTCCCACATCCCCTCCCCACAGCCCTTCTTCCGGCTGCTGAACCTGCGGAAGCTGGGCCTGAGCGACAACGAGATCCAGCGGTTGCCTCCTGAGGTGGCTAATTTCATGCAGCTGGTGGAGCTGGACGTGTCCCGGAATGGTGGGGACTCTGGGTGGGACTGGGGTGGAGCCTGGGGCATGCCTGCTAGGGCTAGAAGCCGCCTGGAGGCCAGGGGCATCTCTCCACCATGGTTGTCTGTCACAGACATCCCTGAGATACCCGAGAGCATCAAGTTCTGCAAGGCTCTGGAGATCGCGGACTTCAGCGGCAATCCCCTGTCCAGGTGGGCGGCAGCCTGTGTTAGGGGTTGGCAGTGGGTTGTCGAAGTTTTGCAATCCTGATCTGGTGTCTGAGGTCCTCTGTTTCCTCCTGCCTAGGCTCCCTGATGGCTTCACTCAGCTACGCAGCTTGGCTCACCTGGCCCTGAATGATGTGTCCCTGCAGGCGCTGCCTGGGGATGTGGGCAAGTGAGTGTCCTCTTGGGTGAAGCGGGCAGGGAGAGGGGCTTGGGTTGGCCTTGCCCCTGCCTTGCTGAGGCCCCTGGTTTGTCTTTCAGCCTTGCCAACCTGGTGACCCTGGAGCTCCGGGAGAACCTGCTCAAGTCCTTGCCTGCGTGAGTGTGCTGGGGTGGAGCTGCCACCTGGGGGCCGGGGGCCTGTGATCCTACCACAACTCTGTTTCTTCTGCAGGTCCTTGTCGTTTCTGGTCAAGCTGGAACAGCTGGATCTGGGAGGCAACGATCTGGAAGTGCTGGTGCGGGTGGGGGCGGAGCACAGGGCGGGGCCTGGGGGTGGGCCGTCCTGGGCAGGGCAGAGCAGAGCAGGAGTATCTTTGTTAGACACTCCTTCTCTATTCCTTCTTACAGCCTGACACTCTGGGGGCTCTGCCCAACCTCCGGGAGCTGTGGCTGGACCGGAACCAGCTGTCAGCACTGCCTCCGGTGAGTGAGGGTGGGGTAGGCCTCCCACCTGGTGCCCATCTGCTCTCTGACCCTCTTCCTGCCCTCAGGAGCTTGGGAACCTGCGGCGCCTGGTATGCCTGGATGTGTCTGAAAACCGGCTGGAAGAGTTGCCTGCAGAACTTGGCGGGCTGGTGCTTCTCACTGACCTACTGCTCTCCCAGAATCTGCTGCAGCGGCTACCTGATGGCATTGGTCAGTGCACCCAGAGGAGTGTGTGGCGGGGTGTACACAGAGCCTGGCCCCAGGAGGAGCATAGGGGCCCAGACACCCTTGTCAGGTGGCTCTGTGTGATGTTGGATCCAGGTGCTATTGGAGAGTGAGGCGAGGCCCCTGACTTCTCCAGGCTCAGGGAGTCGCCCCTGAGGAGGGGCAGTCAGGCCGAGGTCTGATTGGACATCAAGTCCACCAGAGGTGGGTGGGTGGGTGGAGCCAGTGGAGGAGCCTGGTATGTTTCTGCAGGGAGATGGGGTAGGTGGGGCTGGGTTAGGTTTGTGGGGAAAGGTAGGAGGAGGCGGCATGTTCTCCGGAAGAGGGGTAATGGTTGGGGGGGCACAGGGAGGGCTCTGGCCACCCCCAGGGCCTATCTCCTGTGAGGGTGGGTTGGCACTCAGGGTTGTGCCCTCAGCGCACTCAGCTCCATTGCTGTGTCCCCCCAACACCAGGTCAGCTGAAACAGCTGTCTATCCTGAAGGTGGACCAGAATCGGCTGTGCGAGGTGCCTGAGGCCATTGGGGACTGTGAGAACCTCTCTGAGCTGATCCTCACAGAGAACCTGCTCACGGTGGGGCTCAGCCCTGGAGACATTAGGCCTGGTAGAAGCTGGTTTCAGAGTTAGCTCGGGAGGCAGAGGGGAAGGGGGATGTCAGGGCATGTAGATCGAGGGTAGGGGTGCCAGTTTGCAACTTGGTGCCTGTGGGGGCAGGGGGTGGGGTGGGAGGTGCATGTAGGGGGTGTCGGTGGTGGCCTGGCTCATGGGAGCTGCTTGGGAAGGGCACCCTTCAGATCAGAGGAGGAAGTGCACTGGCAGGGGACAAGGTGCGGCCAGGGCAGTGGTCATTGCTATTGGTGTAGGCAGTTCAGGCTTTGTTTTGTCTGATGCGTAGTAAGGCCAGGGAAGAGGGTGGATTTGCACTTAGGGAGGCTAAGTCGGGGCAGGAAGCAAGGCTGAGGCCCTGGGGACTGGGTCCCCAGCTGGGAAGCCAGGATCCACCTGTGGGAAGGGTGTTTACAGAAGGGTGTTTCTGTGGGAGATACCCCCACATAAGAGGTAAGAAAGGGGAACCTGGTTGTGGGGTTCTGGGAAGGGGGTATCCCTGAGCAGACAGGCTGGGCTTGGGGGCCACAGGAGCCCTAGGGACTGAGGGGTAAACAGAGGCAGAAGCCAGCTGGGGTGTCAGACGGGATTGTAAAGTTCAGCATTGGCAGGTCAAAGCCAGGGCACCCATGGGGCAGAGCCGGGGTCAATAGGGTCACCAGTCTTGGAGGACCTGACGGGTGTTTAGGTGGTAGAGTCAGTTCACAGGTCCTGGCCCAAGTTTCTGAGGTCTTTGGCAGGCCCTGACTGGAGCTGGCCCACTGTGTTTGTTGACCTTATCTGCCCATTGGGAATCTCATTTTCCTCTTCCAACCCTTAGTGGCTTCTGCCAACCTCTGCCTTCCCCCCACCAGGCCCTACCCCGCTCTCTGGGGAAGCTGACGAAGCTCACCAACCTCAATGTGGACCGGAACCACCTGGAGGTGTTGCCACCCGAGATTGGAGGCTGCGCGGCGCTCAGTGTGCTCTCTTTGAGGGACAACCGCCTGGCCATCCTGCCACCCGAGCTGGCCCACACAGCTGAGCTGCACGTGTTAGATGTGGCTGGGAACCGGTGAGTGCCTGCCCAGCCCCGGTAGACCTGACATGTCCCCAGTGCCCACTGACTGTGCCTACCCTGGTCCCTAGGCTGAGGAGTCTGCCGTTTGCACTCACCCACCTCAACCTCAAGGCGCTGTGGTTGGCGGAGAACCAGGCACAGCCCATGCTCCGATTCCAGACTGAGGACGACGCCCAGACGGGCGAGAAGGTGCTCACCTGCTACCTGCTGCCCCAGCAGCCCCTGCCCAGCCTCGGTAGGTTGCTGGCAACCGGCAGCCTTGACCCAGGGTGGGCGTGGCTTCAGGCGAGGCCAGGGACTAGCCTGGGCCGCTGACACTTGCCTCCTGCAGAGGACCCTGGGCAGCAGGGGAGCCCCTCCGACAGCTGGAGCGACGCCCCTCTGAGCCGTGTCAGTGTCATCCAGTTCCTTGAAGCCCCCACAGCCGATGACGACGCTGAGGAGGCTGCTGCCGAGAAGCGGGTATGGGAGGGTGGGGACCCTGGGCAGCACCTTTGCCCTTCCCGCCTGACCCCTACCCTGCTTCTGTTTCTCATCCCTGTCCCCAATGCAGGGCCTGCAGCGCCGGGCCACGCCTCACCCCAGCGAGCTCAAAGTGATGAAGAGGAGCGTTGAGGGCCGTCGGAGCGAGGCCTGCCCCGGCAAGCCAGAGCCCAGGCCGCCCTCGCCCCCAGAGGAGGTGGGTAAGAAGCCTCAGCAGCCTGGATGGAGAGCCACTTGCCCTCCCACTTCCCCCGTCTGTCCTGGGATGGAGCCATGAGGGCTGGGGCACCACGAGGAAGAGGGCGGGGACCAGGTTGCCAGGGAAGACCATAGCGTCAGTTACAGGGCTGTGCTGGGCAAGGGGTACTGGGGGTGGGGTTGGAGGGCAGGAGGAACAGATCAGGCACATGGGGGCATGTGGTTGGCCTGCCCTGGTGGCATGGGGAGGGTGATCTGGCCCTGTAGAGCAGGGCCTTCAGCACCTTCCCCAGGAGCCCATGCCTCGGCATCGTCATCTTCTGGGAAGGGCTTGGGGCCGGAGCAGGGCAGGCCTAAGCTTGCTCACATAAAGCTTATTATTATTATTATTTTTTTGAAACAGAATCTCACTTTGTTGCCCAGGCTAGAGTAAGTGCCGTGGCATCACCCTAGCTCACAGCAATCTCAAACTCCTGGGTTCAAGCAATCCTCCTTCCTCAGCCTCTGAGTAGCTGGGACTACAGGCGCGAGCCACCACGCCTGGCTAATATTTTGTTTCGTTTTTAGTTGACTGGCTAATTTCTTCTATTTTTAGTAGAGATGGGGTATCGCTCTTGCTCAGGCTGGTCTCGAACTTTTGAGCTCAAGCAATCCTCCCGCCTTGGCTTCCCAGAGTGCTAAGATTACAGGCGTGAGCCACTGTGCCTGGCCACTTGGAAGCTTTTGATGTCAGGGCCTCCTGCTACAGCAGGACCAGTGACCTGGGCTGGGAAAGGGCAAGCATTGGGCTATGCAGGGCCACTCACCTGTCTGGGGAGGAGTCTCCCATTGGGCAGGCCTTTTCCTTCCCTTCGCTGGGAGAGGCTTTCCTAGGGGCTATGCATGCCCGAGCATCTGAGGCAGCCCGCTCCTCAGGAGCTGGGATGGGGAGTGGCCATGAGGGGTGAGCCTGTTGCTGTGCTGTTGTTGGGGCAGTGGGAAGCCCATGGAGGACTGCATGTGGCCAGCCAAGCTCCCACACAGCTTGACACCACTGTCTGCCACAGGGGAAGAGGCTGAGCACCGAGTCTGGCCTGAGTGGAGACTCTCAACCGTCTGCCAGCACAGCCTCCACAGGCGAGCCCATGGGTCCAGCAACTGAGACACCAGAGCTGAGCCAGCAGGAGGCCACGCTGGCTGGACAGGAGGAAGGCACAGAGGAAGACTACGAGGAGGTAAGGACAGGGAAAAGGGAGAAGGTGGGCTGTGGTTGCCACCGGCCCTGCACCCTCCTGAGTAGGTGCATAGTTGGGGTTAGTCGCAGTGACCATTGGGTGGTGCAGGATGCTTCCTGGGCAAGGGCAGGCCCTGCAGGGGCTATGCTGCTGTACAGGCCTAGGAGAGGTGCTACCCCCAGCAAGAGTGACGGTCTTTACCCTCAGCCAGACACAGCACAGTCAGACCTGTCACTCGAGTGCCATCTGCAGACCACAAACTTTTTTGCCCTCGATGCTTCTGACCATGTGGGTGCCCCCTAGCCTCAGGTCTTTGTTGGTCTCTGCATTTCTACCTGTTGCTACTTATCTCCAGGAAGAGTCCACTGGTCCCCTGGCCTTCTCAGGACTGAGATTTTTGTGTGCCCTTCACCAGGCAGTTGTCCTGAGTCCTTGTCTTTGGTACAGCAGGGACCCTTTGAAAGCTTCTGTCTGTCGCCAGCCCTCTTCAGCAGGGTTTCTGTGTGCCCATACGGACACCCAGCCACACAGTCTAGTGCTCCTGATGGAGGGTGGGGCCAGGAGCCACTGCCACTCTCACTTTCATGTCCACATAGCCCACAGTGCACTTCGCAGAGGACACACTCCTGCCTGGGGAAGACAGGGAGAACGAGGAGGGGCGACTCGAGGCCCCCTGGGCCCTGCCAGGTGGGAGGCAGCGGCTCATCCGTAAGGACACACCCCACTACAAAAAGCACTTCAAGATCTCCAAGCTTCCCCAGCCCGAGGCGGTTGTGGCCCTGCTGCAGGGGAAGCAGCCTGATGGAGAGGGCCCTGCAGTACCTGGAGGCTGGCACAACGGCCCCCACACATCCTGGGCTCCTCAGGCCCAGGAGGAAGAAGAGGAGGAGGAGGAAGAGGACAGGGCTGAGGAAGAAGAGGAGGAGGACCAGGTCGAAGAGGAGGGCGAGGCCACCACTGAGGAGGAGGACAAGGAAGAGGCCGTGGCCTCCGCACCCTCTGTCAAGGTGGGTTTCAGGCCAGGCGCGATGGCTCACGCCTGTAATCCTAGCACTCTGGGAGGCCGAGGCGGGCGGATTGTTTGAGGTCAGGAGTTCGAAACCAGCCTAAGCAAGAGCAAGACCCTGTCTCTACTATAAATAGAAAGAAGTTAATTGGCCAACTAATATATACAGAAAAAATTAGCCAGGCATGATGGCGCATGCCTGTAGTCCCAGCAACTCGGGAGGCTGAGGCAGCAGGATTGCTTGAGCCCAGGAGTTTGAGGTTCTTGTGAGCTAGGCTGACGCCACAGCACTCACTCTAGCCTGGACAACAAAATGAGACTCTCTCAAAAAAAAAAAGGAGGTTTCAGCCACACCCTGGGCTCCTCTGCCCTTCTGGGCAGCAAGGCTGTGGTAGGGAGCAGCTGGAGGCCAGCCCAGTCCCGAAACCCGACTGAGCCTTGGCCTGCTGGCTCCTGACTGCCTGGAGAAGGTGGCGGGCGTGTGGGTGCCATGGAGGGCAGTGGTGCCCCATGTGCTCCTCTAGGCACTGGCATTCATCTTGGTCCACACTCAGGGCAGCTGTGTGGGCCAGCATCTGCCTGACGCGCCTGCAGGCACTGGCAGCTCAGCAGCACTAAGGGTGTGCTCTCCAGCCCTCCTGTGCGCAGTGGACCTGGGGCAGGATCCTCTCCTCCCGAGAGCTCCTCCCTGCATTGGGCACTGACTCCGGGCTTGAGGCCCTTCAGCTGGCCTTGTGTCCACATCTGTGGGTCTGGCAGCTGCCCTACTGCTGGCCTGCCTGGCTCTTCTGCCTTGTTGGGTCCTCCTCAAGCTCCAGCAGACCTGTGGGGCACTAGCATGTCTCTTCTTGGTCATTAGGTTTGCTCTCAACAGTTCACAAAGGGTTCCTCCCCCCTGCTCGCTGGGCACACTCAGGTGCTAGGGAAAGTCCTGGGCTACTCTGAGATCTCATTCTCCCTGGTTCCCACTGTGCCCCTACCCTGAGCATGAGCCAGTGGTGTGACAGTTGAGGGTCAGAGCAAGACAGCCTTGCCTGGGCTCAGCTCTGCCCTGGAGCACCCCCCAGCTGAGCCCTGTCTATGCTGGCAGTTGTGTGGTGTCACTCACACCTCCAAAACAGCGTGCACCCACACCCCGGGATAGTGCCAGGCCCCAGCAGGGAGGGGTCCGCTCGGCTGCAGGAGCTTGGTGTGGTCTTCCTTCTGTCCTTTCTGCTCGTGGTGGGGGTTGGGTGAGGTGGTGGTGGTCCCCGGCGGTGGCTAACCTGCATGCCTCGCTGGTCCTGTCCTGACAGGGGGTGTCGTTTGACCAGGCCAATAACCTGCTGATAGAGCCTGCTCGCATTGAGGAGGAAGAGGTCTGTACTGCTCACTGCTGCTCGCGCTCTGGTCCTGGGGCCACTCCTGACCTTGCTTCCTAGGCTGCAGGCTCTCACCTCTCCCTGCTCCCATCACTTCAGCACAAACTCCCTCCCCAAAGAGTTCCAGCAGCCACTACAGACCTGGGGGCCTGGAACACAGTCCCATGGGGCCTGCTGGCCTCTGGAGGGGCAGCTCCTCCTAGTAGGGCCAAGTGGCAGTGCTGGACCTTTCCCGTTTCCCCACCTATGGTGGTTCCATGAGCCTCCAGGCCACCTAATCTGGAGAAGTGGGATTAGCCCTCACTGTCTGGAGGGCGGGCAGTGGGACCTCAGGCCTCCATCGCTCAGAGGCAGGCAAGCCCTGGACTGACCATGCTGTGCCGTGGTGGTGCATACCTGCTGGGGTCTCTGGCCTTTCTCCAGCTGGCCCTGTGCTATCTATGCAGGCTCTGGCAGACAGGCTTGAGACCTAGTGTGGCTGCTCAGGGAAGAGCTGCAGGTGACCGTCTGTAGCACTGGCCACTTCCTTCTGGGGACCCAGGCAGCTCCTGGCCCTCTGGCCCTCTCAGACATGCCGTGTCCATTCTGTTCTCAGCTGAACCTCACCATCGTGCGGCAGACCGGGGGCCTGGGCATCAGCATCGCAGGGGGCAGGGGCTCCACACCCTACAAGGGGGACGATGAGGTGAGCAGCTGCTGCCAGGTCCAGGTCCCTGCGGGCCCCTCCCAGCCCACGCCTGCCTAACTCGGCCTTGACTGTCTCTTCTGTTGCCCTTTTCTCTCTCAGGCTTCTTGTGGCTTTAGGGGCTGTTGGGTTGGCACTTCAGACTTAACAGCTCACTTTTCCAGGTGCTTCACTTGCAGTTGGGTGCCTGGCCTTCAGAATACACATGTTCTTGGATGTTCTTAGACACAGGGGTCAGGCTCAAGAACCTGATTGTTTTAAAAACCAAGCCAGCCCACAAGTACGTTTATGCTGGACTTTAAAGCCTGAGAGCAGCTGTAGGGTGTCCGGGTCTGCACTCCCACCTTCGAGGCTACCATTTCACCTGGTATCTCTATGCCAGGTTTGGGGTCAGAAGCCTTTTCTGGGGTTGACCACCTTCCAGCTCCCAGGCTCTCAAGGCCCACTGTCCCCTGCCCTCTCTCTGCTCTGGGTGTCTGGGCTTTCCATGGCCACCACAAGCTCCTCCCAGAAGGGCTACGACTGAGAGCCCAGGCTCTGCCTCTTTCTCTAGGGCATATTCATCTCTCGGGTGTCTGAGGAAGGCCCTGCAGCCCGCGCTGGAGTCCGAGTGGGTGACAAGCTCCTCGAGGTGAGTCACCAAGTAGCAGCTGTGCTCCTTGGAGGTGCACATAGGCTGCTATTGGGGTGTTTGGCTACCTTCCTCTCAAGAGGGTCCCTCCTCCCTCTGAGAGCGCCAAGCACAGGACCCTAGCCCCTGGGTGAGGCCTGGGAGGCCCACTGGGGTGGGTCTGGGCTGCTCTAGGGTCAGAGGCCTCTCCAGAAGGGGCTGCTCCAGGGCTGACGAGGAAGGTGGCCAGACCCCACCTGTGCAGGCCAGACCCCACCTGAGGAGCTCACAGGAGGCCGTGTGAGGGCAGGCCTGGGGCCTAGGCCAGGGTGGTGTTTGCCTGGGGAGCTGACACTATGTGTACTCATGTTCTCTGGCTTAGCCCTTGCCCTAACTTTTGCATGGAAACTACTGTCCCTTGGGTGGTCGGGGTCCGGGGTGGGAGTTGGTAACCTAGTGACTTCAGGTGTTCTCCATTGGACGGCTCAGATGGGGACAGGATGTTTCCAGGAATGGGTCCACAGGTGCATACTGGCCACAGAGATGTCCGCCTACCTCTCATGGCCAAGCTGTGTCCTGGCCCTGGGGCTGTACACAGGCATTTCTGGGGGCCAGGTGGGGAGCGCAGACATGCCAGGAGCCTGAAGCTGGAGGTAGGGGGTGTTCCCAGCTCAGGCACCCTCACCCTCGACCTCAGGCCCCCTATCCACAGAGGGGGTGGCGTGGAGCCCTCCTGAGCCCTCAGTGTTTGGCTATCGGGGTGGCCATGGCTGGGTCCAGAAGTGCAATGTGGCCTCTGTCCCCTGCTGCCCACAGGTGAATGGTGTGGCCTTGCAGGATGCCGAGCACCACGAGGCTGTAGAGGCACTCCGGGGGGCTGGCGCTGCTGTACAGATGCGCGTGTGGCGGGAGCGCATGGTAGAGCCTGAGAATGCAGTCACCATCACGCCTCTGCGGCCTGAGGATGACTACAGCCCCCGAGAGCGGCGAGGAGGGGGCCTACGCCTGCCCCTGCTCCACCCGGAGACCCCTGGGCCCCCCCGCCAGCGCCATGTGGCCTGTCTCGTGCGTAGTGAGAAGGGGTTGGGCTTCAGCATCGCCGGCGGGAAAGGCTCCACACCCTATCGGGCTGGTGATGCGGTGAGGCTCAGGGCCTGGGGTGGGGCTCTCTGGAGTCAGGAACAGGAGCTGCCCTCGGCGTCCACACTGTCAGCCTCACCAATAGCCACAGCCGTCCTCCCCACCCCTGCAGGGCATCTTCATCTCCCGCATCGCAGAGGGGGGCGCTGCACACCGGGCTGGCACGCTGCAGGTTGGCGACCGCGTCCTCTCGGTGAGTGGGGAAGGTGGGGCTGGCTGGCATTCTTTGTCCCATCCAGGCCTCAGCCTCCTTGACCCTGGGGCATTCTCACAGATCAACGGAGTGGACGTGACCGAGGCCCGACATGACCACGCTGTCTCTCTGCTGACTGCTGCCTCCCCCACCATCGCCCTGCTGCTGGAGCGTGAGAACGGAGGACCCCTTCCCCCCAGCCCCACACCACATTCCTCCCCGTCCCCTACTGCTGCTGTCACCACCACCCCTGGGGAGCCTGGGTTGCCACGGCTGGCCCCCAGCCTGCTGGCCACTGCACTGGAGGGGCCATACCCAGTGGAGGTGAGAGCCCCACCCCACCCAGGCATCCACTTAGCTTTAGGTGTGGAGCACTGGCTCCAGGACCCCACTGTGGCCCCATAGCCCACTCTGGTAGGAACACCAGCATGCACACCCTTTCCACTTGGGGTCTGTGAGACTGGGGTTTTGATCCAGGCAGACTGCTTGGTGTGGTTTCCCAAGTCCCCCACATGGCCATTTCACAGCAGTCAGCAGGGGCCCCTACCCCTATCCCTGAGGACCTGGCTGTCCTCTGGGGAGTCTACCAGTAACCACCCTACCTCCTGGTGTCCCCTTCTCTGCCCTGACTGAGGCCTGGCTCTTGTTCCCAGGAGGTCTGTCTGCCAAGAGCTGGGGGCCCACTGGGGCTTAGCATTGTCGGGGGCTCTGACCACTCTAGCCACCCGTTTGGCATCCAGGAGCCTGGTGTGTTCATCTCCAAGGTAGAGTGGGCCTGGCTGGGCAGCTCTGTGCACAAAGGACCATCCTGCTGTCCTGGGCATGGGTCAGTAGAGCCCCAGCTGGCTGGACACTGCCCTCCTCCCCAACAGGTGCTCCCGCGGGGTCTTGCTGCTCGCAGTGGCCTGCGGGTTGGGGACCGCATCCTGGCAGTGAATGGGCAGGACGTACGGGAGGCCACACATCAAGAGGCAGTCAGCGCCCTGCTTCGGCCCTGCCTAGAGCTGTCTCTGCTTGTGCGGAGAGACCCGCCACCCCCGGGCATGCGGGAACTGTGCATCCAGAAGGCCCCAGGGGAGAAGCTGGGCATCAGCATTCGTGGAGGTGCCAAGGGCCACGCAGGGAACCCCTGCGACCCCACGGATGAAGGCATCTTCATCTCCAAGGTGAGGGACCTGCCTTAGCTGGCCCTGAGTCCGCACACCTCACCAGGCCTCTCCCACACTGGCTCTCCCCACAGGTGAGCCCCACAGGGGCAGCAGGGCGTGATGGCCGGCTGCGTGTGGGGCTACGGCTACTGGAGGTGAACCAGCAGAGCCTGCTGGGCCTGACGCATGGGGAGGCCGTGCAGCTGCTGCGCAGCGTGGGGGACACCCTTACTGTGCTGGTCTGTGATGGCTTCGACACCAGCACCACCACAGCCCTAGAGGTCAGTGCCCCACCCCTGGACCAGGTTCTGCCCCCAGCAAAGCCCCCAGGTGTCATGATGAGCTGAGCCCCAGGTTGGCTGGGGCAGCAGATCCTTTACCCCTCCAAGTGGGAAGTGCTTAATGACCCTGAGGCAGCCCTGGGCAGAAGCCGAGAGGCATGGCCCACACAGCTGCCTTTCCTTCTGAGCTATGGACATCATGCTGTCTGGAGGCCCTGGCCAGGTTGGATGAGGTGTGTGAGCAGATGGGGCATTTCTGGGGCCCAGCATGGTGTGGTCTTAAGAGGCAGAGTCACTGGCCTTCAGGTGGGCAGCATGGGTGGCCACTGGCTGGGATAGAGATGGCTCAGACCCCTGCCCAGAGCCCACTAGCTGAGCAGAGACTGCTCAGGACTCTGCCTGCAGATGTGCGCAGGGGTCCGTGCCCTGTGCCTCAGTGGCATCCTGTTCCTCCCAGCTTGTCCCTGGCCCCTGCTTGACCCCAGGGTGTCTCTCCATTGGTCCCCCAGCAGAGAGCTCTCTCCCTAAGACCTAATGTCCATGCTGGTCCTTCACTGCCTGGACCCTGGAGCAAAAGCCATGACTGGGTGCAGCCTTGCCTCTCTTGGGGCTCATCCTGCCTCACATCTCCTCCCCGCTGCTGTGCCTGGGGCCCCTCGGCACTGTTTGCCCAAAGGGCCTTCTCAGGGCTCTTTACCTGCAGTGGTTGCTGCTCCACTCAGAGGGTGCCCCAGTCACGCTGTTCCCGGGGTGGTGGGTGGCTGTCACTGCTCCCCAACAGCACATATAAAGCTTTTGCTGCTTGCAACAGCTTTGGGGATGGGCAACCACCTTATCCTGGCTCTTTTGCAGTAGATCTCTGGGATAGTGACTTGCTGCTGGGTGCCAGCCAGAAAGATGCCCCAAGGCTGACAGCCGCAGACAGCCCACACTCCAGTATGGGGCTGCCCTGATAGGAAACGAGATTGCATTTGTTTATTTATTTAAAATATATATTTATAAATGTTTTATTCAATACATTTACTTATTTTAAACTTTTTACTCAGAGAATATCTCTTGGGGAAGGGCCCCAACATCCAGAGGGGCTGGTGGGCTCTAAGGTGCAGCTGAGTGTGTGTCCCCTTTGCTCTCCCGTATGGCCGCATGCTGCGTGCTGTAGGTGTCCTCACTGCATCTGGTGGGCCCTTCACAGCAAGTGCAGGCCTGAAACATTAAACGCTGGCCAGGCCACTGACCCTCTTCCAGATAGTATCAGTGCCACTTCTGGATCCTCCCTGGAGTTTGGGAGCTTACACTATCATTAGGTGGGTCGGGCGGGTGCAGGAGCCTGTGGTTGAGCCCCTTTTCTGCTTGTCACTGCCACTTCCTATCTCAGGACAATGGTTGCTTTTGTGTCGTAGGTGCTGGTTTTCTGTCAAGTAGGGCCTGCGTTCTGATCTTTTGTTTTGTGGGAACAGGTGTGTTTTTTTTCCATCTGTCACTTAACTTTTCCATTTTAAGATGGTGTCTTTTGAGTTGCAAAAGTCTAAATTTTTATGAATGATATTTTTTCCTTTATGACTCCTGGATTCTGGTTTTTCTTTAGGAAAACCTTGGCTATTGCGAATTATAAAAACATTGTCCGGCCGGGCGCGGTGGCTCACGCCTGTAATCCTAGCACTCTGGGAGGCCGAGGCGGGTGGATTGCTCGAGGTCAGGAGTTCAAAACCAGCCTGAACAAGAGCGAGACCCCGTCTCTACTATAAATAGAAAGAAAATTAATTGGCCAACTAATACATATATAAAAAATTAGCCGGGCATGGTGGCACATGCCTGTAGTCCCAGCTACGTGGGAGGCTGAGGCAGGAGGATTGCTTGAGCCCAGGAGTTTGAGGTTGCTGTGAGCCAGGCTGACGCCACGGCACTCACTCTAGCCTGGATAACAAAGCGAGACTCTGTCTCAAAAAAAAAAAAAACAAAAAAAACATATACCTCTACAGTCCAGCTGGAATTGTTTTTCAGGTGAAGGGGAATGTAGTTGTCTCAGCAGTATTTACTGAATAATCTGTTGTTCCCACTGATTTGGGGGAGATGTGACTTCATTGTATTCATTTCTAATGTGCTCTGGGGTTTGTTTCTGGACTTGGTCCCAATGCCACACTGTTTTAAGTACTGTCACTTTATAGCATGTGTTAATACCTAATTCTAGTTGGTCAAGTCACCCACTCTTTTTTCTTCTTTTGAAAAGTTTCTATTGTCATGTGTTTTCTCTCCCAGATAAACCTGCCAAAGTGTCAGGGCACTGGGGTTGTCTTTATGATAAGTTTTTCTCAAGTATATTCCTAGGTTGCTCTTGTTTTCTTACTAATTCTGATAAATGCTAATCTCCTGGCAGAGTCCTACTGTCTGCAGCCGTGGCAGTGGCCCCTCCTTCCTGCTGTGCAGCCCATCCCATGTCCCCTCCTGGAGCCTGGTGTGGTGGCAGCCAGCGGCCTGGCTTTGTGCTCAGCTTTAAGAGACTTTCATCTTGCAGTGTGATATTTTCTGCAGTTTCTTTTAATATTTTTTAAATTTGGGGCTATTTCTATTTATCACCTATAAGAATTATCTGAAGCAGGAGTTGGGTTTTCTGGAGTGCTTTTATCTTTGGTTTTTATATCCGCGTGCTGAGTGGGGTTGCTTCAGCCCATGGAGGTTTCGCCATTAGGCGTGGCACTTGCATTGACCCTTCACAGTGGCATCCAGATTCCTGGCTTCTCACAAAGAAGCAGGACGTAGCTGGCTGGGCCTTGTCCCTGCCGGGCCATCTGTGTTTCTGATCTCTCCAGGGGATGGGGTGCTCACGACTCTGACCCCCACCCCATCGTTCTTAAACTTGGCCCTGCCATGCTAGCGTCAGGGTTTGCCAACTGGATTCTATACCTGTCGTTTCATTCTCTGCACCAGTCTTGGCCTCAGCTCCTGGGCTGGCAGCTTCTCCATCTCCCCAGCTCTCCTGAGTAGAGTCTGTGACGGTCTACCTGTTCTGCGTTCTAGGGCTGCTGTGTCTTGAGGCTCCTGTGTGGTTCTGATACACCTGGGCCCTCATTTGCTGGAGGCCTTGGGCAGGTGCGGGCAGATGCGTGGCTTCTCCACTCCTCATTCTCCCATTTGCACAACAGAATAGCAGCAGTGCCTGCTTCTTAGGTCTGTTTCGAGGATCCCAGAAAGCAGATGGTACAGTGTGCACCTGCCTCACCACCGGCAGCACCAAAACCCCTGAGCACATCTGGGTTAATGTGTACTTTCTAAGAGAACTTTTCACTCTGATTTTCCACATGGTTTGGAATTACTTTTCTCCTCTCCTGGAGGTAACCTCCTTCTCCTTGATCCTGATGTTTGTTGTGTCTTTTCCTCCTGATCATACTGACCAAAGTTTTGTATATTTTAATAGTCTTCTCATCCAAGAGCCAGCTTTTGAATATTGATGAAGACTTTCTCTTATTATTATTTGTCAATTAGAAATAAAACTTTAAAAAGACTACCTTTCTTTTTAACATTGCCTTGATGTATGCTTTAAGGAAGAATACTTCAGTCATTCCTTCGGCATCTGTTGCTTTTATTTTTTCTTTCTTTTTTTATTTTTATTTTTTATTTATTTATTTTGTTTTTGAGACAGAGTCTCATTGTGTTGCCCGGGCTAAAGTGCCATGGTGTCAGCCTAGCTCATAGCAACCTCAAATTCTTGGGCTCAAGCGATCCTCCTGCCTTAGCCTCCCAAGTAGTTGAGACTACAGGCATGTGCCACCATGCCCGGCTAATTTTTTCTATTTTTAGTTGATTGGCTAATTTCTTTCTATTTATAGTAGAGACGAGGTCTCGCTCTTGTTCAGGCTGGTCTCGAACTCCTGAGCTCAAGCAGTCCTCCTGCCTTGGTCTCTCAGAGTGCTAGGATTACAGGCGTGAGCCACTGTGCCCAGCCTGCTTTTATTTTTTCTACAGATTTGTCTGTAAAGAAGAGGTTATCAGCTTTTTTTTATGCTGGTGTGAGTTTATTACAGAAAAGGTATGATAAATGCTTGATCCTTTCATTTGTCTTTAGAATAACAAGCCAGTGCCCTAGAAGCTTCCAAAGATGGCCACTGGGGTATCTTTTTGTTTTTAGTGTTACTTTGAACTCGAGGGTCTTTTTTTCTTGTGTATTTCAACCCATCATTTTATCGATACCGCTTGATAGGGCATTGAGATCCCAGATCCTTTCAGCATGACACTTGTCATTCAGTAGCCACTATGATGAGGATCCTGTGAATTTCCCAAGTCAGCCCTGGATTCAGCAGTTTCTGTGGAGAGCCCTGGTTCCTCTCTGTGGGAATGTTGTTAGAGCCCATAACGGTGGCCAGGAGTGTTCACCGCTTCTGGGCTGTCATTGCTTCGGCCTTTGTAGCAGATTGAGGCTGGGAGATGGATATTTTTAGAAAGAGAAAAATCATGAGTTTGTACTGTTAACATTTAACTCACTTAGGAATATAGGGTTTTATTGACTTTTTGATTTTACAGTCGTCTTTTTCTTATACATAATATCTTTCCTTAATTCATTAATAATTTCAAAATGCAGCCAGGCATGGTGGCATGTGCCTGTAGTTCCAGCAACTTGGGAGACTGAGGTGGGAGGACAGCTTGAGCCCAGGAGCCTGGGCAATGTAGCAAGACTCCTCTTTTTTTTTTTTTTTTTTTTAAGATAGGCTCTCATTCTGTCACCCAGGCTGGAGTGTAGTGGTATGATCATAGGCCATTGCAGTTCAGGTGATCCTCCTGCCTTAGCCTCCCAAGTAGCTGGGACTATAGGTACATACCACCATGCCCAGCTATTTTTTTAGTTTTTTGTAGAGATGGGGTCTCACCATGTTGCTCAGGTTGGTTTCAATCTGGCCTCAAGCGATCCTCCTGCCTCAGCCTCCCAAAGTGTTGGGATTATAGGTTTGAGCCACTGCGTCTGGCCCCCATCTCTCTGATTTCAAAAATGCAATGCTAATAGTATTACTGCAAGAACACTGGAAACAGGCTAAGAGTTCTTTATGGCTCCTTTGTCCTTAGGATTTCTCCAGCTAGGATGTGCAGCCAAAATACTGTGCTTGTAGTCTGGGTATGGTCTGTGCTGACCTCCATTCTGGGTTTGTCTGATGCTCCTGCACGAGTCCCAGCGTGCACATCTTTGCCAGGCTGCCACTGAAGCAACACTGCTCCTCAGGGCCTATGCAAGGTATAGCGGGTGTCCCACTACCTATGATCTTAACTGTGATATAGGTCAGGTTTCACTGCTGCAGTTACTCTTTCCCCTTTGAAATTTATAAGTTTTTGTGGGAGGTGCTTCGAGTGTGTGTGACTATCTCGTTCCTCACCACACTCCTGCCCACTGGCACTGGCACCTGTTGATGGTTCCCAATGTGTCCTTGCAGTGGCTGCTGAACAGTGTCCTAACCGTCACTCTGGGTTCATCAGTTGGCTTTCTCTGTAAAAACAAGCCTCCATTCTCCCAGTTTGTGTATTGTCTACTTACCTGTTAGTCCAGACTCATGGGTTTCCATTTTATTTCATGGTTGACGGTTTGTGACTATCTTTACCTGTTTTGGTGCTTACGGAAGGACTGTCCAGCTGGCACTGGTCATCATCCTCACTCTGCATACCAGGACGTTCTGGGCTCATTCCACACTTTTCCCTGCCCAGCCCTGGAGTTGGCCACCTCTGCAGGGAGCACTGGTTCCTTCTAGTGCAGAGTGGTATTTAGAAGCCCAGATCTGGGCGCTGGGTATACACAGTGCTGTTGGGGTGTCCTTGTCTCAGAATGTCTCAGTGGCTAGGGAGTATGCAGCTCACTTCCGTGACATTTTCTGGAACTGCGCACGAGAGTGAGTTCACACCACAGGTCAGCTTTTCCCACGTTCTCTGCTGCGCATCTGGGCTGCTGCCTTCTCACACTCTCACTTCCACGTGGCCCCTCTGTGTATGTGACCATTCTTTCCACCCTGCCAGGCCCCCTGCTGCTCTCAGGCCTGCCCAGGGGCTTTTTGACTCAGTTATTCCAGAAATCGAGAAGGTGGGCACCTTGGTGATAGTGGTTTGTTCTACTAGTGTGTCAGACTCTGAAAGACATGTATGAGTCACCCTTTGTAACTGTTTTTATCAAGCTCTCGCATCTCTATTGGCCTTTGCTTTCTATGTGTAGCCATCCCCTGCTTAGCGCCACAGCTCATGATCGTGGCATCGTCTCTGTCAGTGGCACCTTCTGTGTGACAGTGTCCCTCAGTGCCTGCTGGACATTTTGAACCTGAGATTCTGTCTTCTCTGGGCCAAGCAGCTACTTGTGCTCTCTGCCTGCCTGGTGTCTCTCTGCCCTCCCCCTTGTCACTTCAGTTGTATTTTGTAAAGAGACACTCAGCTGGGCCCATGTCCCAGCCCACACTGGCAGCGCGCTCCTCTAGGGAAGACTCACTTGTGGCGAGGGCGAGGGTGTTGGCGACGTCTCTTTCTACTGTGCCACTGCCTCTCCTAGTCCCTGCTGGTGCTAGAGGCCTAAGCTGGTCCCTTTTGTCCCTTATGGGGTTGGAAGTGAGCTGGGCCCTCTGCCTTTGTTCTCTTTCTCTGTCTCTCTTTTTTTTTTTTGAGACAGAGTCTTACTTTGTTGCCCTGGCTAGAGTGCCCTGGTGTCAGCCTAGATCACAGCAACCTCAAACTCCTGGGCTTAAGTGATCATCCTCCTGCCTCAGCCTCCCCAGCAGCTGGGACTACAGGCATGCACCACCATGTCTGGCTAATTTTTTCTATATATTTTTAGTTGGCCAATTAATTTCTTTCTATTTTTAGTAGAGATGGGATCTCGCTCTTGCTCAGGCTGGTTTTGAACTCCTGACCTTGAGTGATCCTCCCGCCTCAGCCTCCCAGAGTGCTAGGATTACAGGCATGAGCCACTGCGCCTGGCCTCTTTGTTCTCTCTTGATGCTCAGCTCCAAGTGCCTCCTGCACCTAGACCGTAGGCCTTACCTGTGCAGCCCCAGATGCCTTCCCTTTCTGGACACCCCTTCTGTCTCTCTGGTCATGTGGTTTTGCCAGATGATTTAGTTCTCTTTTTTTTTTTTTTCTGTCTGTGATTGTAAATTAATGGCAGAAAAATGATTTAGTTCTTTTAGGTTCAGAGCTAGTGGTTTTTGTCTTGTATGTTTGCTCTTTGAGCGTCTTTACTCAGCACTCATCCTGCAGAGTCGAGGCAGCCTGTCTGTCCATGAGCGCCACTCCGTCTTGGAGGCCATCAGCTCTCTGGGACAATTGCACAGTCAGCTCCGTTTGCCCCGCCTAAACAAGGCAGCAAAGTGCTGCAGCCTTGTATCCTTGCCGTGTGCAGGCATGACCTGTGTGCCAGCAGCCTCAGGAGCTAGGTGTCCCTGATGGGACTCAGGTGGAGATACTAGTGTAGTGTCCTGGAAGGCCCCGCAGAGTGCTCCGGAGGCCACTTTAGATACATGATCGGCCTGCCCGGCATCCACTGTGTGTCACTGGCTTACCATGGGCCAGGGCTCCAGCCTGGTCCTGGAGGTGGGACTGCATAGCCAGAGCTCCAACCTTCAGCCCACTCCCTTCCTCTCAGGTATCCCCAGGCGTCATTGCCAACCCCTTTGCGGCAGGCATCGGCCACCGGAATAGCCTGGAAAGCATCTCGTCCATTGACCGGGAACTGAGCCCCGAGGGCCCGGGCAAGGTCAGAACTGCCTGTGGCTGGCAGCCCCTGGGCCGGGGAGCCTGAGGCTGTCAGTTCCTGACTCATGTCTGCTCTGCTCGCAGGAGAAGGAGCTGCCTGGACAGAGCCTGCACTGGGGGCCGGAGGCCACAGAGGCTGCAGTGAGTGTTGAGTCGTTCATGCCCTGACAGGGGCCCCTGGCTCTGAACTTGGGGCTGCCCATCCCATGGGGGCACTGCAGCAGGGGGCACAACCCATGGGATAGTGGTAGCTGTGCCCAGGCCCCTGCAGCGTCCAGTGTTCATCCCTCCTGGCTGGCCGTGTGCTGCCCGCAGTGCCACCCCTGCTTGGCTGTGGACATGCCCTGCTAGCACCACATCCCTTCTACTCTCTAGGGCCAGAGTCTGGAGCCCCTGAAGCTGGACTACCGTGCCCTGGCCGCCGTGCCCAGCACTGGCAGCATGCAAAGGGTCAGTGTCCGGTGTGCAGAGTGGCCCCGCTGCCCTCTATTTCTGTTCATCTGCCCATGCCAAGACGAGTGCTGAAGCTGTGGAGGAAGGAGACTTTGGGTGGGGTTGGGGATTGTCAGAGGCTGCCTCCAGGCCTACGGCCACCTAACCTGGTGTCTCTCGTCCCCTTGGCTCTTGGCCCAGGCCATGAGGCAAGTGCTGTTATGCCCCCTACTCTTTGCTGAGGACAAGAGGCACAGGGACAGGACCTAGCCAGGGAGGGGCCTAATCCCTTGGAGGCCCTTGGCCCTCCACAGCTTCCTTGCCTGCTGCAGGTGGAGGGGCTCCTGGCCTGGACGGCGCAGGGGGGAGAAGGGCAAAGGCAGCTGGAGCCAGCAGGGCTCCAGGTGGGTGTGGGTGTGTATGAGCTGCCGTGGGGTGACAGGCCACAGCAGCTGCAGGGGGCCATGGGGACCGAGAGGGGTTTGGAGAGAGGCCTAGCCCTGACAGCTGGGTTGGGCATGGACACCAGGACAGTTGTGGGCCTGGGGACAGGCAGGAGGGACATTCAGTCTCCATTCCTCCCCCAAGAGATACAAATAACCCTCCCAGAGGGGTGCCTAGTCAGCCACCACTGGGAGAGACCCCACAGGAACGTGAGTGGTTGAGGATCAGCTGAGCCTGGCCACTGCCTGAGTAGCAGAGAGGAAGGGAGGGCCGGTTCAAGGCTTGGGGTTAGGGGGCCCACTCAGGGGCTTTGGGGCACCAACCCTTTCTCCTCTGGTGATAGGCAGCCCAGAGAGGGAAGCCCCAGGCATGGGGGGGGCAGCATCTTCTGCTCAGGAAGGGGGGGTGCAACTGTGGGCGGCTGGTGGGGTCAGGCCTCCCTGCCTCAAGCACTGTTGGAGGGTACACAGGAGGGTGGCTGGGGCCGGGTGGCCTTAGCAGTCAGCCTAGCTCCCTCTGGTCTGAGCAGCAGGCAGTGGGCTCCCAGGCACTGTCCCCGGTGACTCCCAGCTGCCGCTGTCTCATCTGTATTTGGCCCATCTCTCTCTGCAAATCTCCAGTTAGCCCACTGCCTTGGACAGACACCTGGCTGCTCAGGCCAGGCCCCAGCCCCAGGCCTCCCCTGTCCCCCTAGCATTGTAGGGGGAGGGACAAAGCCCGGTAGACTCAAGGTCATAGCCTTTTAGGGAGAACCCCTTTATGCTGGCCAAGTGGTCTTCCAAGCCCATGTGGTGATATCCCCCGAACTGTGATCAGATCAGGGAAGTGAGGAGCAGCCTCTGTGTTGCCATGGCAAGCGTCTGGCTCCCCCACTCCTTCTCTTTGGGGAGCCACAGCCCTGCCTGGCCCTAACCCTGCTCTCTGCCCACTCCTCCAGGTGCCATCTGGGACAGCTGGAGGGAAGATGGCTGAGGCCCCCTGTTCCCCCAGTGGCCAGCAGGTGAGTGTCCCAAGTCACAGGTGCCCCTCTAGGTGGGAGCGGAGGACAAGGTAGCAGCCTACAGGTCCCTTGTCCGGGTATTGGGTGTTGGGGAGACAGGGCTTCCTTCCCAGCTGCCCTACAGGTTTGGGGCTGACGCTGCTTTCCTTGTGGTAACATGGAGGCCTCTGTGAGGACAGCCAAGGACACCTTCCTGGCCAGAGCTGGCTGGCAGAGGGTGGGGGTATTTGAGCTGCTGTTCCTGGAGGGGTTCCAGCCCTGCGAGATCCAGTGAGGTCTCAGTCCCAACACCACCCCTCCTCTCATCTGTGGGTCCTTCAGCCACACCATCAACACACTGCAGGGTGGTGGTGGGGTTGCCTACTTGGAGCCCTGCTCCCAGCCTTGACCCCTGACAGGCAAGAGGACGTCAGCCCCACCCAGGCTGCCCACCTGGGCTCCATCTCTCTGTCTTTCCCCCCACCATCCCACCCCACCCCTACCTGAACCCCTGATCCTGCTCTCCTCTGGCCTACCCCTGCCCTCTGCAGACAAAACCGGGGGTGATCCAGCCATTGGCTCAGGCCTGGCCAAGGGGCTCCCCGGCCCCCAGGGGCAGAGGTGGTCCCCACTGCGTGAGTGCCCTGTCCTGCTGGGGTGGGGGTGGCAGAGCCCCCTTCCTCGGCTGGATGGCGGGAGGGGGTCAGAGGTAGCAGTGGGGACAGCTGGTGGCTGGGTGGGTGGCGGCGGTACCACAGCTACTCTGCAGCTCATGCGAGCCCGGCCCCCCAGCCGCCTTCCCCACCATCCTTGGATGAGCTACCCACCAACGTGAAGCAGGCCTACAGGGCCTTCGCTGCTGTGCCCGCCCCGCACCCTCCCCACGACACCTCTGCCCAGGTATGTGGGGGGTGGCCACCCTCCCTGCCTCATGCTGTGGTGGGTGCACAGAGAGCCTGGTATGTGGAGAGTGCTGCCAAGTCTCCTCCCCACTGCCCCCAGACCCCCACGCCTGGGCCCACGGCCTCCCCGGAGCAGCTATCCTTCCGTGAGCGGCAGAAGTACTTTGAGCTGGAGGTGCGGGTGCCTCAGGCCGAAGGCCCCCCCAAGCGCGTGTCCCTGGTTGGTGCTGATGACTTGCGGAAGATGCAAGAGGAAGAAGGTGGGGGTGCACAGCAGAGGGAGGGGCCTGGGTCCCCACTGGCCTGGTCTTACCTGCCCTGCACCCCCTAGCCCGCAAGCTGCAGCAGAAAAGAGCGCAGATGCTGCGGGAGGTGGTGGCAGCTGGGCCAGAGGCGTGGCTGGCCGTGGACGGGGAGGCCCCAGACGAGGAGGAGCAGGAGGATGGCCTGGCGCAGGACCCTGCCAGAGGGTGAGCACCTGCCCAAAGTCCTGGCCTAAAGTCCCTGGCCTGCCCTGGTGTGCCCTTGTCCTCTCCCACAACACGTCCTGTCCCCTTCCCCAGGCACAGCCCGGTGTCCCCCCCACCCCTGGGAGGCAGCGTCCCAGTGCGGACAGCCAAAGCTGAGCGGCGCCACCAGGAGCGGCTACGTGTGCAGAGCCCCGAGCCACCGCTGCCTGAGCGGGCCCTGTCCCCTGCCGAGCGCCGTGCCCTGGAGGCGGAGAAGCGGGCGTTGTGGAGGGCGGCCAGGTGAGGCCCTGCCATGGGTTGCCATGCTGCCTGCCCTGGGGTCGTCCAGCCTGGGGTCACCTGTCCAGCCTGCTCTTCTCTGCAGGATGAAGTCCTTGGAGCAGGATGCCCTCCGGGCACAGATGGTCCTGAGCAAGTCCCAGGATGGCCGGAGCAAGCGGGGGCCCCTGGAGCGGCTGGCCGAGGCCCCTTCTCCTGCGCCCACCCCTTCACCCACCCCCTTAGAAGGTCTGTGGGACAGGGACAGGAGGGTGGTTCAGTCTGCCGCATGGACCTCTCCCAACGCCTGCTTCTTGTCCCCCCAGACCTTGGTCCCCAGACCAGCACCTCCCCTGGACGCCTGGTGAGGAGCCAGTGGCTGTCGCCCTCCCCAACACCCCTGAGGCCTGGGGGCGGTCCAGACTCCCCCACCCCTGGGGCCCTCACCTCTTCCTCTCCCTCTCTGCCTCTCGTGCTCACGCTGTCCTTTCAAGCCCTTGTCTGGAAAGAAGTTTGACTACAGGGCGTTTGCAGCCCTCCCTTCTTCCAGACCTATCTGTGACATCCAGGTACCTCGGCCCTCCAGACCCTTCTGCTCGCAACCCTTTTGCTTGCAACCCTCGCCTGTGCCTCTCACCTAGCCTGTCCATTCCTGCAGTCCTACCCTTCCTGCCTGCTACCCCCCCACTCTGTCCCCTGGTTGTGGGACCTCCCCACCCAGCTCCTCTCCTCCTGCCCCGACCCTATCCAGGCTCTGTGGCCCCAGCTAGGAAGCCCAAAAGTCCCTGAGGGTGGCTTCCGGCTGGTCTGGCACGGTCCTGAGCAGCCCTTCTCTCCATCATAGTCACCGGACTTTGCTGAAGAGCTGAGGTCCCTGGAACCATCTCCCAGCCCTGGTGAGTTGGGGCCCAGGTGGGGATGAGCACCCTGGAGCCTGGAAGCCCTCAGCTCACTATTGCCCTGTCCCCACCCACCAGGCCTGCAGGAGGAGGATGGAGAGGTGGCCCTGGTGCTTCTGGGAAGGCCCTCGCCCGGGGCAGTGGGCCCCGAAGACGTGAGGCTGTGCAGCAGCCGCCGCCCCATGCGGCCAGGGCGCCGTGGCCTGGGACCTGTACCCTCCTAGAGGGGTGGGTACTTCCCCTGACTTGGGGTGGGGGCCCTGCCAGCTCTAACCCCACCCTTGCCCCGAGTCTTTTAACTTGGATGTTAGCATTTTAAAGAGCCCCCTCAAGAGTTCTGGCCTCTGACTAACTGCCCCTCCCCCCAGCCAGGATCTCTTGGCGAGACTGTAACTAGTGATGTTTGTACAACCAAAGACTCTATTTTGTGGTTTAAGGAGAATAAAGTTGACTACGTTTTACCTCTGCCTGTCTGTCCCTCTGTCTGCCCCCCCAGACTAACCCCTCCTGCCCTCCAAAGCTGGCCTGGGTCTGCCCAGCAGCCCATCCTGCCTGCCCTGCCACTGCACATGTCTCATGCCCCTGCGGGGGCCGCCCCCAAGAGTACCCAGAGCTGGGCTCCCGACAGAGGACGTGGACTGGTGCACACAGCCCCTCCCTGTGGCGCAGGCACGTGCACGCGGCACTGACAAGCACACTCTATCGGGACGCATTGCCAGGCATGCACTTTATTGGGTCCAGGCGCTAGATTCCTGTGCTGGGCAGCTGCACGCGCACAGGGAGCAGCAGTTGCAGCTGCTCAGCCGGTGGCCACCGAACCCTGGTGACGAAGAAGAGACGGAAGTGTTCCAGGCGCGCCTCCTGGAACTGCGTGGGGCCATACTCCGGGCCATCAGCTGGCCGCAGCAGTGACAGATATCTCTCCTCCTGTAGCAGTGCGCGGCTCAGCAACTCCTGCGCCAGGCCAGGCTGCACGGCCTCCAGCTGCTGCTGCACGGCGGGGAACAGGTCCACCTCATGCAGGTCGAACACCAGTGGCTTCCCGTACCTGCGCAGCCAGGCGGTGAGGATGGGCTGAGCCAACCGGGGTGTGCCCAGGCCCACGCACCTCACCTGAGTGCTCCCAGCAGAGCCAGCCGCACCCTCTCAGGCCTCAGGTGCTCTGGGTTCACCGTGTCCACATAGTTGGTGTCCTGATAACGCAGGAAGGTGGCTGCCTGGCCCGAAGGGTCGATGACAAGAGGCCACCTGGGGGTGGCCATCAGATTACCACCGTAAGCCTGAACCCCCAACTCCCCCATTCCTGGCCCACAGCACTGACCGGCCGTCTGCCCGGATGCGGTCGCCAACATCCTTCATCAGCACGTCATGCAGCTCAGTGACCTGGCACCTCAGCCCGGGCACCTCCTCCTCCTCTGTGGGGATGTTAGTGTGCAGCCGCCCAGAGAACCCAGCGCCGACTCCCTCCCTAGGCCTGCCTCTCCAGCCCCCCGACCTTCGCCCGAAACTGCCCACCCTCCTGTGTCTGCTCGCGCAGCTCCAGCCTGGCCATGGCCAGTGTCTCCTCGGCCTTCTGGGCCTCCTCCCGCAGCCTGTCCACTTGGGCTTCTGCGTCCTTGATGGCCTGCAGGAAGGCACCACACTGACCTCCACAGACCCACCCCACGTTCCATCTCAGGAGGTCACCTGCTGGGCCTCCTTCACGTCCCACCCCACCCAAGGAGGCCACTGTCGCCCGTGTTTGGGAATGAAAAACATGCCCCAGAACCCCAGGCCTGCGGGAGAGAACCCCTGGGCTGATGCAGAGCAAGGAGGGGTGTCCAGAAAGCAAAGGCCGGCAAAGCCTGGTGGCCCACACCTGCAGCGTGAGCTCGGTCTTGCCTGCGAGCCTCCGCTCACACTTGTCGTGTTCCGTGATCCTCCGGTTGAGCTCACAGTAGGCCTGCTGCAGCTGGACGGGAGGGCGGGCAGGCTCTGGCCAGGGCCTGCAGGATACCTCCCCTCCTAGCTCTTCCTCCGCCTTCCCAGCCCTTTCCTCAGCTCAGCTCCCTCTCCTCCTCCCCTCCTCCCCTGGCTCCTCCCTGAGCTCACCTCCTTGTGACACCGCTGCTGCTCCTTGGCTAGCTGTTGCACCTTGAGGATCATGCTAGAGAGAGAAAGGGCTGGGTCAGAGGACCTACCTGTCAGTGCTCCCTGCCACCCTCCTGCCCGTCGCACCGCTTAGCCTCGGCCTCCTTGTGCCTCTGGGCCTCCTGTGCCCGGCGCTGCTGCTCTGCCTCCATGTTCCGGAGCATGGTCTCCGTGAGGCTCAGATCCCATGACTGCAGCACACTGGCCACTGCGTCCAGAGAGGCCACCTAATGACAGATGACATTTGTTGGACACTCAGGGTGTGCATGTTCTGAATGTTCTGCTCAACCTGGGAAGGAGGTATTTAAGGGGGAAAATGCAGGTTTCCTACCAGGTAACAGAAACACTGTAGCCTGAAGTGGTCAGCAAAATCGTTACAAAGTAAGTAGACTAAGCAAGTACCAAGACAATTATTTCATGGAAAGGTGCCCAGCACTTTCTTGCTTTGAAGCAGCCAGCAGCCAGTATAGATTGGCCCTGACTGCTTTAGAGCTGCTTTGGCTGTGATGGGCTACAGTGAGTGCCATTTAGCGAATTGTAATGCTAGAGTTCCCGCCTACTGGAGAATTATAATATCATTAACATAACATGGATTGCACAGCGTGATTCGTGTCACTGTGAACAAGCAAAGATATGATGCAAATGCTCTGCTTCACTCACTGGGAAGGTCAGGGGCAGACTCGGATTTTGCATGCAAAATCCTAGCTCCTATGGAAGAAATCCCTGTGCTGCCCAGGAGCAAGTGTGGTGGCAAGTAACCTCTAATAAACCCATCTAACTCGCCAAGCTGGACTTGGTTGGAGTCGCTCTTTGATCTCTCAATTCCCTCTCAGTTTGGGAGGCAATTTTTCTATACTGCCCCAGGATTCTGAAACTGTTGGCGTAGCTGGCAGGATCCAAGAGATGAAACGATGAGTAAGGAGGGAGCATTTGCAGGGGCTAATACCATTTTCTCTGGGGGCAATCCTGAGGTGGCCAGAGACTTCCCTGTGGAGTCCCTGGGTTACTTGATCAGTGCAGGCTGCTGCATGAGCACAGGGATGCCCCGAAAACGCCGGTTGGGAATTGAGCATTTGCTACAAGAAGGGAAAATGCTTCAGTATGGTAAAGATGGCAAACAGGTGATAGCTGTGTGAGCCGGCCCCTGACAGAATGTCGGGCCTGCAGAATACAGTGTGACAACTGGAGGAGGAATTACGACTGGAAATGGATATATGAGATACAGTCTCACTCTGATATCCAGGTTAGAGTGCCGTGGCATCAGCCTAGCACACAGCAACCTCAAAGTCCTGGGCTCAAGCGATTCTCTTGCCTCAGCCTCCCCAGCTGGGATTATAGGCACATGCCACCACACCTGGCTAATTTTTCTATTTTTAGTAGAGATGGGGTCTCACTCTTGCTCAGGCTGGTGTCATACTCCTGACCTCAAGAGATCCACCTTGGCCTCCCAGAGTGCTAGGATTACAGGTGCAAACCAACGCACCAGGCCTGTGCAGGAGTTACATAAGGTACAAATAGTGCAGCCAGCCCAGAGCCCCTGTAACAGCCCTGTGTGGCTGGTGAAGACGACGGGTAGCACATGGAGAATGACAGTCGACAACTGTGAGCTAAACAAAGTAGTGTCCCCTATACATGCAGGTGTAATTAACATTGCTCAACTGATAGAACAAGAGTCTTTGAGTTAGGAATGTTCTTGCTGTGTCTGATTTGGCTGATGCCTTCTTCATGTTTCCCTAGCAGAACATTGCCAGGACCAGTTTGCATCCACTAGGAAAGGCCAACCATGGACTTTCCAGGTGCTAACACAAGGTGCCTGCACAGCCCCACCATCTGTCACAGTCTGGTCGCACAGGACCTGTCTAGACTCTCTCTCCCTCTGTCTCCTTGTTTTACTATATTGATGATATTTTCCTAATCTCAGAGTCTCTCGCAGATTTGGAGATGGTTCTACAGACCATGTTGGATGGCTTGAAGGAGAGGGGATAAGAAGTCAACCCCCAAAAGATGCAGGGGCTTGGTGTGGCTGTCAAATTCCTGGGAGTGTCCTGGTCAGGTAAGACACATGATATACCTGGTGCTATTATTAACAAAATAACACAGCAACCTGTTCCTCAATCTATAAGGCAACTCCAGGTTATTTTAGGTTTATTAGGTTATTGGAGAATATTTACTCCTCATCTGGCACAAACTCTCACCCACTGTACACCCTGGGAAAGAAAGGTGACCAGACAGAGCAAGAGGGAGTTACCAGGGATCCTATGGGGATGAGCTGGGGTCTGTGGGGTCTGGTCTCAGCTGTGGAAGACAGCAGAATCCCGTTACCCTGTCGTACTGGAGCAACCACCACTGGACATGCAGGCCGTTGCAGCAAGTAGAGGCCGTAACTGGAGGACAAATGGTTACAGTAAAGACTGCTCAGCCCATGAAAGGGTGGGTGGAGGCCTTTTAGCCAAACCCTCTGCCAGGGTGGTGCAATCACACACCTGCGGGAATGGCACACCTATATGCAACAAAAAGCTGTCTTGTCCTCTAGCCCTTTAAGCCAGGCACTGCAGGGGGTGCTCAGACCCATCCACTGTGAACAAGGGGAGGGGCTGGTGTGGCAACGGAGCCACCCACTAGACCAGCTGCAGTGTACAAGGGCCCCCATCCATACCTGCTACGGCCTGGTACACAGATAGGTCTAGTAAGGCCACTAAACACCCGTGGTGGCAATAACAGTGCAAGTGGATACTGACACTATATGGATAGGATGGGGATTGGGACAGAGTAGCCAAGGGGCTGAGCTGCAAGTAGTTTAGATCCTAGTCACCCACGCGCTCTGGCTACTAGTCATTTGTGCAGACAGCTGGGCAGTTAGGGAGGATCAGTCTCACAATGTGGATCAAGCCTAGAGTAGTGATGGTTGGCAGGTTCCAGGCAGGCCCCTTTGGGGAATGTGTGTGGCAAGGCACCCATCACAGATGACAAGAAAAGGATGCACACCTTACAGTGTGCCACGTGGATGCCCACAGCCCCGGGTTAGCTCCTGGACACCAGGAGGCTGACGTCCTTACTCATGTCAGGGCCATCTGCCCAGGCCCACCAGCGGAGGCTGCTACACCATAACAGTGGCCACCAGGGGTCAGCCACGGGGTGAGTGATAGCATCCCTGTCCACTGCAGAGATGTTCTAGCAGCTGTTCAGAATTGGGAGGCCTGTTCCTGGCTGTGACCTAGAAGGGTCCCCTCCACTTTGGGTCCTGTACATCGAGCCATACAACCTGTCCGGGACTGGCAAGTCTACTGTATTTGCCTCATGCCCCGGAGTGAAGGCAAAGCTCTGCCGTCGCTTGTGTAAAACTCCCATAGTTGGGTTTTACAGGCCTTCCCCACAAAGCGTCCACCCAAGTGGAAACCACCAAGTGTCTCACCACGCTTAGTGTGACGTGTGCTGTACCCAGGCGGGTGGGTAGTGACCAAGGTCCTCATTTTATAGGTCGTGACATTCAGCAAAGAATTGTGACATCACAACAAAACATAGACTGGAGAATTCACCTGCCACATGATCCAATAGGGGCACGTCTAACAGAAAGAAAAAGTGGTCTGTTAAAAACTCAGATGTGTGCACTGTCCAAGCACGGCTCCTTGAGGCCCTGGGGCCTCTACAGGTTTTGAGTGGGCCACTTGCTACCACACATAGCATCCACTCCCTATGAATGTTTGTCAAGGACTGTAGAACAGGCCCCGCAAACTCTCCAAGTCACATTTGAGGTGCTGAGCCAGGGCCCCACAGCAGGTGGCCAGCCCATGCTCCTGAGCACACCAAGGGGCCTGCAGCTGAGCTGGAAGGTGCCCCCACACTCGGGGGGGGGGAGGGGTTAAGGCAGCTAAGGGTGAGGTGATGGAGGCCCAAAAGCTTTGCAATACCACCACACGAAGACATCCATACCAGCTGGAGTTACCATGGCGAATGGCACAGGCAAGACTATTGTGCCTGCTCCTGGGAGGGGAGCCTCGCAAGGCACTATATTTAAACCAGGCTCGAAGCCTGCAGCAGCCTCCCTGGTAGGGCGTATGGGGGAAACTGCATCAGCAATAATGTCACAGGGAATGGAGTCACCTCTGAGAGTCCCTTCTAACACCTGTGTCTGTGCCCATAGGCTGTTGCTTCTGCTGTCCGCAGCAAGCGGCCATGTCTTTTCAGGTTGGGCTGCAACAACGGCAGTAGGCAGCAACCAGTCCAGCTGTTGAGTGTCTGGATACCTGCCCTTGTCCAGTGGGGGTGGGAGGCCACGGGATGTGCTGCCCGTGACAACACAGAATCAGAGTGACCAGACGCACTCTCTGGGTAGTGGCAACTCTCCCCATGCAGGTGACATCAACTCTGCCATTTGTCGTGGACAGCTACCTACACCTGAGAACAGTTCCCACCTGAAACTACCGTGTTTCCCCGAAAATAAGACCTACCCATAAAATAAGCCTTAGCAGGATTTCTAAGCCTTTGCACAATATAAGCCCTACCACAAAAATAAGACCTAGTGATGGGCGTGGCTACGCAGCGTATCTGCACAACCCACGCATTTCGTCGCAGAGCGGTAAAGAAGACAGGCAGCCCTTCTCATCTGCCCCATGAGAGCTCTATTGCTCGACATGAGCGATTAGAGCCAATGTTTCTAAAGGAAATAGAGTCGCAAGAAATTCAGGATGGAATTCGGGGTTTGGAGAGTTATGATGATGTTCCAGAAGAAGACGACTTAACTATATTTGAATAAATGTAGATTGCTGTACCGTACTTAAAAAAAAATAACACATCCCCTGAAAATAAGCCCTAAGGTGTCTTCTTGAGGAAAAATAAATATAAGACCCTGTCTTATTTTCGGAGAAACATAGTAAATGATGTGCCTTTACACTGGGGAGATAGCATATAAACGTCACACGGCCAATGCATAACACTTGGGATGGATTGACATGGATGACACTGAACGTGGACTGTTACACCCAAAGGCCCCTCTATGCATAGAAAGACGCAATCTGACTGCGAATTCCTCCACTTGCCCCCGGCTGATGAGTGGGCTGCCCCCTTCAGCAAGCTTCCACACTGTCGCCCTGTGGGCATCCGACTGCGTGGGGGAGGTGGGAAACTGCTTCATCAGAGCTGGAGCTTATATTGCCCCATTGGGGGCTGGGTGGCCGTGCGGCACACAGTTGTGGCCCTACCTCCCACACAATTGGACTGGGAGTTGTGC